TTCCAGTGTAATTAACGGATTATTGTTAACTCATGTGCCTTCACATTAAAGCAAATTTATACAGCTTTAAATGTTAAAGGGATAGTTCACCCCCCCAAAAAAACTGTCATTAATTACTTCGTTCATCTTCAGAACACAAATTAAGATATTTTTGATGAAATCCGAGAGCTTTCTGACCCTGCATAGACAGCAACGGTATACCACGTTCAAGGTCCAGAAAGGTAGTAAGGACATCATTAAAATAGTCCATGTGACATCAGTGGTTCAACATTAATTTTATGAAGCTACGTGAATACTTTTTTGCGCAAAGAAAACAAATGATGTCACATATGTTCCTCGTATGTGAAAACATACCTGGCAATAAAGTTCATTCTGATTCTGATTCTGATTCTGACATGGACTATTTTAACAATGAGTGCGTTTACATGCACCCTCTTAATGCGATTACAATTAGATTTTGGCAATATTGCGATTAAACTTTACCTCATGTAAACGCAATACTTCGATTTAAATAATGTGATTAAACTCATAATCGCAGCAAGCATAATCGTATTAACATAGGTGGCGTACATTCTGCTTGTGACATACATGAATGACGTGACGCGCACCTGTAATAATACGCAGATTAGAAACGATGGTGGGGAAGAAAGCATCGCATTTCTGGGGAAAACACAACTCGCTGCCAGCAGTATCTGTTCCTTACCCTCATCCAGAAACGACGAGTAGAAAGTCGGTTTTGATGATAATTCAATTTTAAATGGTAATACTAACCTTCAGGGCATTTTATCGTGATTTATCGTGAAACCGGTAATCGTTCCATCCCTAAAACGTAGTCAATGTCCTTACTACCTTTCTGGTCCTTGAACATGCCAGTTCCGTTGCTGTCTATGGAGGGTCAGAAAGCTCTCGGTTTTCATTAAAAATATCTTAATTTGTGCGCTCAAGATAAATGAAGGTCTTACAAGTTTGGAATGACATGAGGGTGAGTAATTAATGACAGAATTTTCATTTTTGGGTGAACTATTCCTTTTAAATGGTAAATATATTGGCATATATACAAAAATAACATTAAGGAAGATTAATAAATGCTGTAAAATATTGTTCATTATGATTTCATGTGAGCTACTTCATAATGCTTATGTATAAAACCGTATTAAAAAATGTTAGCCAGAACTACTTTAATTTCAACAATACACACACAGATACACACAAACACAATGAAAACTACATACTAAACCATCAACATTAATGATCTAGAAACTGCATACTTAAGAAACGTAGGAAAATAAGATTTATATAACATAAAACAAACAAACAAAAAGTCTAGTGTCGGGTTTGTTTTTCCACCAAGCCATACAATGCAGCAAGAGCTCTGACAAGTCCATACAGACAACACTCCTACCGATCATAAGCTATGTACTGTACCTGTGGGGAACCATCTGGTTCTTAAACCTGTCATTGACAACAAAAGAAAAAACTTGTTTTCCCAGAAAGAAAAAAAAAACTCTCTGAAGTCTAAACAAAATGCAAACCTGACTCACTATGAGTGTGCAACATCAGTCCAGAACATTATTGCACAAACCGGCACTTATGAGCAGAGCACAACGGCTCCACGGTGCAGATATTAACATTTCTTTACAGTCAACCAGTGTGTCTTTATACAGAGATCTAACAGTGGAGCTCTGCTGGAGTTCTGACATGGCTGAGGGGATGTATATTTATCTTCTTTATAGTTTGCACTGAGTAAAGCTGACTGTCCGTGATGTCCTTCCCACTTTTTGCTCCCTAACGGACAAGGATTATGTGGTCCACAGAGAAACGTGTCCCCACAGCACTCTGGAGAAGAGAGCAGAGGTGTTCCGTTTAGGAAAACACAGTCTCTTGCTCCCAGTGTCTCTCTTTTTGTCTGGATCGAGACACGCGTCTCTGTGACTCAACCCTTTTTATTGATTTTTTCAAAGAGGCTGCTAGGAACATTTGCCACTATAAATGCAGACTGCAGGCTTGATTCAAAAAGGCAAATTTAAGGAGAGAGCAAAATGTTTCTCTCAGCCATCAATTCACTCTAAATTGGCTTACTGGGTGGCCTGACAAAGTCTGAAAGGTTTAGATTTAAAAAAAAAACAGGCCCATCAATCACTCTTCTCTATATAGCCTTTGTCAAGATAAGCACAGCACAGTGTGTTCGACTATAATTACAGGGGAAACTATTTCACAAAGCATGAAATTTCAGAAAAACATAAGGTGTTTATTAAGTCAGCATTCAAATGTGAAATTCATTTAAGGTGTGAAAAGCTTCAGTAATCAATGCCTTTTCTTATCTATTCTTTCTATGTTGAATTCTGGTTCACTAAGGTGATACTGAGACAAGATTTGATAATTGGACATCTATCTAACTTACATCTGCATTTATTAGAAGCAGACACTTTTATCCAAAGCGACTTACAAACGGAGAACATTGCAAGCAATTTAACATAAGAGAGATCAACATTTGCTGTACACAGTGCCAAGTTTTAAATGATACAGGATTAGTACAAGCTACCTGCAGATCAGAAATGAAACGTAGAAAAGTAAACAAAAAAATAAGTTTTTAGTTTTTGAATTTTTACAGAATAAATGCAGTCTTTAATCATATCTATTAAAATTCATTAACATATTTCAATTAATTTGTTTTAATTAACATTTTAAAATAAATATTGTTTTAAGTAATAAAAATAAGAACACAAATAGAATAGAAAAACTTCTATTTCATGTAGGTATTAATATAAACATTAGTACACAAACTACATATACAGAAAGAATGAAAGAAAGAAAAAGAAAGAAAGAAAGAAAGAAAGAAAAATAAGAACTCCTATTTAATCTATTTAAATGTATTAGCATATTTAAATGTATTGATTTATTTTTATTTAAATTGACATTAAATAAATTAATAAACAATGAAATAATGAAAACAAGAACTCTTATTAAAGTAAAGATTAATTTTTAAAATCTATTTTATATATGTATTAACTTATAGTACAAAAACTACCTATATATTAGAAAACTACATGCAGAAAAGCAAAGAAAAAGAGAACAAGACTTTTTAATGTATTAGAATAACTTAAATACGTAATACAATCTATTTAAATGTGTTAACATATTTAAATGTATTTATTTATTTATTTATTTTAATTAACAAAAAACATTTTAATATACAAATTCACAGACATATATAGAGTAATTTTGCAGCTGTAACTAAATACAATGTATTTACCACTAAATACAAGAGCTTGTTCGGAAAACAGCATAATCTGAACTCCAGATGAGAACTGGGGCCATAAAGGGTATACAGAGTTCAAGGCTTATTTTAGAAACCTAGTGGAGCAGTCCAACAAATACATAAGAGAAAACCAGCTAAAAGCCAGTGCCTGCAGATCCCAGCGCTCTTTGAATAAATGTTTTTACTGAAGAAGGGGTTTTGTTTGTGAAAGCTGGCGTGCAGGTATTTGGTTTTGCAGCAGGGCGGCTGCTAAATGTGTAGACTGGGGCTCGTTCAATGATCTGAAAGCTTTGATTCAAAAGCTCAGTCAAACAGGGAGAACCGAGATTATTTGAGCAACCATAAGAATTGCATTTTCAAAACGGTGCCAATGGACCGTTATGGGCTTGGAATGAAGAGTGTGTGTGAGTGTGTGTGTGACAGACCTCCCTGTCGCTGCTGGGCATAAACGCCATTACCACTGCACTCACTGTGCATATTTAATGAATGGGGTGCTAATTAAAAGGTTTGTGTTCCTGCGTTTGTGTGTGTGAGACGGGTGTTAGACATTGAAATTCACACTCATTCTGTAACACAGATGGTGAACAGCCATAAGGTCACATCCTAAAAATCAATGGGTTAATGAGCTACTAGTCTGTGTCACTACTCACTAGGTCGTGCTTACAGACGGCTTGGTTCTCCAGGAGTTCACTTACAGTCAGAGCGGATCACTAAGCTAAAACATTGACCTTGCATTTCCACTCCATTAGCTCCAATAGAATCCCTTTGGCTTTGACATTCAGCTCTACAATTACTTACTGAAATCCGCCCGCTGAATTTACATTGATTATAATACATGTTCTCCAGGCAAGGGAGTCCTGTAATTTAAGCCGGGGGAAGGTGACTTGAGTTTGTCAATGTTATTAGGTCTCTATTATTTAGCCCATAACACACTATTAAAAAAAATGCATTTAGTGCTGTAGTCAGTCAAAAAGCATAGCTCAAGGACAATTTAAAAACACATGACCAAGTATTTAAAAAATGGATGTATGAAAATGTATGCAAAGAAAACTGTATGAAAAGGAAATCAAATATATAAACTTATATTTTCCTGAGTAAATTAACTCATATATTTTTATATATTTTATGTATTACTTTTCAATACATTTCAATGTATTTTTAAATTACATATACATAAAAATTATAGACTTGCAATAAACATATATTATACATAAAAGAGTAGGATTATAGATTTGCAATAAAGTATATTTTAGGTATTATAAGTCAAACTTCAGGAATCCGGTTGTTAACACACCACACATTACTGTTTCTGGGTCCAGATTTATCAAATCCCAAAAGCAAATAACATACAGTGCTATTATACACTCTATGTGTGCTGTAGCATTACTGAAAAATCCTAACCTTATTGGCAGATTCATCTTTTCTAAATCATTAAAATACTAGTGTCGGGGATGCTGTGAGTCTGGAGACTGTTGTGTACACTGTGAGTTTTTAAAAGCTTAGCTTAAAGGTGTGCTATGAATGAATACAGCTGTAGAACAGCTGTAGAGAGTATCTAGTATACTTGAAATGGAGCAATTGCTTGGACCCGGAAACAGTATTCGATACGTCATAAATTAACAAGCGAATACTAATAGTGGTGCTTATCTCAGCAAGCACAATTAATTAAGATGCTAAATGAAGTCCAGAGCTCTCCTGTAACGTGCTGTCATGCTGAGGTGTGTGGGATACAAATGCTGACCTGTGTGAGAGATGAGTGGGTGTTCAGCTCTATGGCAGGGGGACTCCGGGGCCCGTGTGGCCCCCCGGCAGGGCACTCCTCTGGGCAACAGCAGCAGCAGGCTGTGCAGCAGGACGAGGCAGCGGGCCAGGGGCGTTCCCTCCACGGGGGGAGCCATGGGGGTCCACGGGACTCTGCTCAGTACTGCTGGGGCAGGAGCATAGAGCGCTGGGCATCTGCCTCGGAAATCTGCAGAGAAAATGAGAGAATGATTGAACGAGCGCGATAAGGTTTGACTGATTTCATTGGTTCAACTTTATAATAACTTTCATAACCTTCATTAATAAGTCTTTTTTTAAAAATCATTATGTAACAGATCATTACTTAAAGGCAGGATCTGATGATAATGACTGGCTGATCGTACGGTATATTATCCCACTTTTTACACAGGAAATATATACATGGAGATAACATATAATTTTAATAACATAACATAAATATTAATGAGTTGAAGATTTTGTTATGTGAAAAGAAAGCATCATGAAAGCATCACATCACAATAAATTATATAGTTTAGTGGTCATTATGTACTGTAAAAATATGCTGCAAAAGATGAGGATTGACCGATCAGAATCGATTACCAAATAATTGAACAAATAATGCAGTGTTACCAAATAATGTGGAGGAAAACAGTTTTCCCCCCTTTTTTTGCTGCAGCTGAATGTTTTTTTGTGGAAACCTTGATACATTTTTTTTCAGGATTCTCTGATGAATAGAAAATTAGGGTTAGGGTTACAACAGCATTTATTTGACATAGAATATAAATCATTTATACCATTATAAATGCTGTTACTGTGACTTTTGATCAATTTAATATAATTTATTTATTTATTTATTTTACAAAACTTACCCCAAACTTTTTAATGGTAATGTATCACAGCTTCCATTCCACATGAATAAAAATAAAAATATTTAAACAGAATTTGAATTGTAATAATATTTCAAAATATTACTTTTACTGCACTTTTGAACAAATGAATGGAGCCTTGGTGAACATAAGAGGCACCTTTCAAAAACATTAAATAATCTTAATTATTTCAAACTTTAAACCGGTAAATATTTTTATTTAAAGTGATAAATGAAGGGGTTAAAAGAGAGAGAGAGATACTGAGAATAACATGTCAGAGTAAAAGAGCATCAGGCAGAGAATGCAGCCAGATAAAGAAAAAGCAGCTGTTGAGGTCATCACATTCATCTCCCCAACCTCCTGCACTTGTCACGGTGAACACACACGAAACATGGAACAGAGTCTGACATAACGCCCCCCTCCGGAAGGCGTGTCCTCCCTCGCGAAGACGATGGGGTCTGGGCTCGCCTGAGCCACTGTGATGAACATTAAACGCTCCTCCATTTGGGGACGTGGAGGAGCGCACGGGAAAAAAGGCAAAACAAAAACTTACAAAAACCGGAAATCAAACACGGGGAAGGGATGCCGCTTACGGTTTGGTCCGCTGTTCTGTCACGATGAACACACACGAAACATGGAACAGAGTCTGACAGCACTCTCATCTTTGACCTCTGACCCCACTTCCACGAATCAGCACAGGGAACTGCACTCCAGCCCCTCTGAAGAGCCGTAGACTATCAGAGAACATACCGCAGAGCATACACACTCCACAGGGGCCCCTCACACTGCTCACATACAGCCAGAAAAACTCCATCTAGTTTTGCACTCCTGAGAAACTTACAGTGTTATAGATTGCTTTCAGACTCAGCTGAAGAGCAACAGCTCTGGCAGAGGTCTGATATTCGCCAATAAAGCATTCTATAAATAGCTTTCTTTCTTTCTTTCTTTCTTTCTTTAATACTTGCACACAACTACTTAAAGGAACAGTTCGCCCAAAAATGAAAATTCTGTCATTATTTACTCACCCTCATGTCGATTCAAACCCCTAAGATCTTCATTTATCTTCGGAACACAAATTAAAATATTTTTAATGAAAACCGAGAGCTTTCTGACCCTGCAAGGCCCAGAAAGGTAGTAAAGACATCATTAAAATAGTCCATGTGACATCAGTGGTTCAACCGTAATTTTATGAAGCTACAAGAATACTTTTTGTGCGCAAAGAAAACAATAACGACTTTAGTCAAAAATTTCTTATCTTCCATGTCAGTCTTCAATGCCCCACGCATTTTTGTCAATGTTATTTTTTTTGTAACTAAATTAAAATGAGAAATGTTGCAGCTGAAATAAAATAATTTTTCATGTTTTCATATATTTAAAAGTAATGGATTTTCATATTATAACTTGTCTGATTCGAAATGAGCCAAGTAAAGCTTCTTCAATGCCCCACGCATTTTTGTCAATGTTATTTTTTTTGTAACTAAATTAAAATGAGAAATGTTGCAGCTGAAATAAAATAATTTTTCATGTTTTCATATATTTAAAAGTAATGGATTTTCATATTATAACTTGTCTGATTCGAAAATGAGGCAAGATAAATTTTTTTTTTTTTTTTTTAATAATTCGCTTTTTTAGTAAAAATTTTTTTGTCCTTTTGAAGCTTAAGAGCTTGTGGTCACTATGAACTGTCGTTGTATTAAGAAATGCAGATTTAAAAAACATTTTGTTCCACTGGAAACAACAAGAGGATGAGCAAATAATGACAGCATTTTATTTTTGTGGGCGAACTAACCCTTTCAATTAATCTGTATTCCTACAAAATAAGATAAAAAACAATAAACTTACATTAAAAATAAAATAAAAATTGCATTTTAATGAGCATTTTAAACTATCCCATTAAATCACTCTGATTACTGACTGAATGTATGACAACATATTTCTGCAAAATAAAACAAACACAAACAAACAAACAAAAAAATCCCCTAAACTACACTTAACTAAAATAAAATATAATTTTGTCCCTTTAGGTACTCTCACTCAAAAAAAAAAAAAAAAGGCAGCTCTTGCTCTTTAAAACCCGACTGCGGGTCTCCTGGATGGATTTTGCAGCACGACTAGCACTTGAATGCTTGTCAATCAAAAATCACTCCATCATCCTTGCTTTCCTTGGGATAACCTCTCTACACTACGACAGTACAGATGAAATTGAGTCAGTCTGCACGAAGGGCAATACAGAACTCGATTACGCCAAAGTTGCTCTCATCAGCAGGGACTCAGTAACTGACACACTGCAGATCTGAATGGCCTGTTGATGGGTCTGGAGTGGAGACTCATGTCTAGCGCATGGAAACAGGACTTTACATCTTCTTGTCTTTTTGAACGCACACACAGTTTCCTGTCAGTAGATGCTGGACAGAGTGGAGCCATCGCTTTCTAGTGCTTTTTCAGATTTTCTCTTATACGATCAATTCCCATTTGATATTCAATTACAGTATTATCAAGCACACACACTCATAACATATCAAATGGCAAAATACAGTAAATAAGGAATTCAATTTCGTTCTTGGTGTGAATGTTAGTTTTTTACAGTCTAAACACTTGCACAACATTAAAATCATCATTTCTTTTGAATGTTACTGCCGATTTTGTATTGTATTATTAAACACTTTAGCGTGGATGAATACCTTGACTGTGAAAAGTGCAAACATCCATTAAAGGTGTTTTATGCGAACTCATTTGCTTGAAAGTCTCAAATCAGATACAGACAGTGCTGGGTTGTAACTGATGTAATCTGCATTACGTAATCCGATTCCAAAAATTAAGTACTTGTAATTATATTATATTACATTTTAAAATACTTGTAATCAGACTACAGTTACTTTTTTATTGATTACATCTCATTCACACAATAGTAATAAATTATTATTATTATTATTATTATTATTATTATTATAGGGGTCCTATTATGCTTTTTCACTTTTTTAATTTTAGTCAGTGTGTAGTGTGTATGTTTGGGCATAAAAAAGATCTAGAAAGTTACAAATCTCAAAATCCACTCCAAAGGGAGATATTTCGTTTTTAAAAAATCCTTTTTCAAGAACTACAACGAACTTTTCGGCATGTCTAGAACAATTCTTACAAGTACAACACGACATAGCTGGGCGCCGTGGACAGACGCCGAACAGCGCCGCCGGTGTGCCTACACTTAAATATTTATTATGAATCATAACCAGTTATAATTCGTCATAAATATTTCCCTTTTTGAGTTGAAAAACCCTACAAGAGCATGTTCTAGTACACCCCCAAAACAAAATCAAGACTTTGTAAAAGAGCATAAAAGGACCCCTTTAAAATCACAAAACCCAGTTTGGAAAACCTTGATGTATGGTTCTTGTTGCTAATAACAACAAATGGAATATATTTTCTTTCTCTTTCTATTGTTATATCAGTATGGTCCAAGATTGTTATTTAAATCAATGATAAACAAGTTGGGTCAAAAGTAACCAAAAAGTAGTCCGATTCTATTAGCCTACCAAAAATGTAATGGATTACGATACTAACTACAATTTTTGTCATGTAATTTGTAATCAGTAATGGATTACAATTTGCAAGTAATCTACCAAGCTCTGAATAGAGATACAATACATGCCCTTGCACATCGAGTTATGGTGCTCATATGGACACTACGAGTTCGAATCCAGCTCACAACATTGCCTGATTTCTTATCCATAAATTCCCGCTCTTTCTCCACTTTACTTGAAATAAAATGTCAAAAAAGGTACCTACAAACTTAACCAATTACCACTGGGACAACATAATGGCTGGTTGTTAGTAAGGGTGTCATAAACAGAAATTTCCTTTAATCATAGCTGCAAATGACAACATGACATATTCCTGCTGTGGTCCAGTGTCTGTCACGCAGGAAATAACAATGTATGTTGACAGTGATGAAACATTTCAGCAGTACTACCGGTTATGTTCTCTCTCACACATACACACTGCGGTCTGAGTGGCTTCCTGCTCAAACTGTCCTCCTCTAACACAAGAGAAGTAATGGGAGAGCACCGTGGTCAATATGATCTAATTATTCCTATAGAAACATTGGATCCTCTACATATTACAGTCGCTCACATTCAGAGCTGAATCACAGGAATATCTTCAGCAATAAAATGAAATATGGTTGTATCTTGAACCAAATGTAGGGATGAATAAAAGAGAGAGTTCACCCAAATAATGAAAGCTCTATTCTCATTTACTCACCCTCACATCCTTTTTCCGGAGCACAGAAGGTATATTTTTAAATAATGTACAATAATTTAAGGACTGGAGCTTTTAAGCTTCACAA